CAACAACCACTCATAAATGATAGACTCCATAATAAAGCATAAACGAAAATAAACCAAATTTATTGAAAGGCATTCCATTACTACTTTTCTTATCGCTAAAGTATCTATAAATCGTTTATACACTATCAAGTTAATTTTATCAAAATGATTCTTTTATTATTACATATCTCATAGTTGAAAAAAATATGATTTTAATCTAATTATCATCTTTTAACTGAAGTAGAAAACTCTCTAAATCAAAAAACTATTCATTGAAGCAAAATGAAGGGATTTGGTTTACTGGCTTCAGAGAAACTGTTCAGGAAACAAAGAAAGCTAATGCACTTGAATTGTGAGAACAGGGTTCAAGCAAAACAATATGGCAAATCAGACATCACCATCCGTCCACCTTCACTAAATTTGGGTGGAATTTGACTTGAGACTTGCATGTATAACAGCAATCCATGAGGGCGCTCTTGCCGTGCCAAAGTCGTTAGAATAGAGAATATCTCACCAACCCACCATAAATTATAGACTACCTAATAAAATGTGTATTCTTTGGGCCTCCTGCTGCTTGGTATCATGGTCCACCATCTTGATTGCTGACCCACACCCACCACCATTCATTTATTCAATCTAATTTAAGTTTTATTTGGTCAGGAAGCACTTTAATGAGAAGGTTTTTACTAAAAAATGGTTTAAAAAAATTATCTATAAGTTAAAAGGTTTTATACATAGATTTATTAATTAAGTTTTATAATAAAGTTTTATTGAATTATCAATTTTGTCATGTTTGGTAAATAATTGATATAAAAAAATTAATAAAAAAAAGTTATTAAGTGAATATAATATAAGAAAAGTTATAAAAAAATTTTTTCTTTTAAAATTGGTAGGAATAAAACTTTATGAATTGAGAATTATATCAAAAAAAATAAATATTTAAACTAGCACTTTTATCTTTTTTTTTTTGGGCTGTAATATTAATGCATAAAAATATATAAATAATCTTATAAAAAAATTTAAAAAAATTTAGGAAAAAAAGTTTCACAACCAAACACCTCCTAAGAAAATCACGCTAGCGGGTCTACATGTGGGCCTTTTAATTTGGACACTCAGATCCAGATTTATCGGGACGCCATGCCACGGTCCTCTCCAAGAAGTTAGCCGTTGCAACTAAGCTCGGCTCAAAAATCTTTAACACCACGTTGAGCCCAAACACGAAAGAGCGGCCGAACTCACTCTGCGCTTTCTGTTTCAGAGGACTGCTGCGATTTGGGGAACGAGGAATAACAGAAAGGCGAGAGATGAACAGTACAGAAGAAGGAAAGAGAATGGGATCCGATAACTGCAATTCTTTCATTTTGAAAAATTTGAAGTATGGCCCCCAGTCGTCCACCGGCCCGGTAAAGTCAATTAACCTGAGGGATGAAGTATGTTTTCAGTTTGCAACTGTTGGCAGTTGCTGATCAATTTCTTCCCTTAATGCAGGGTCCTTTGTTTTCCCTTTTTATTCACTAAAACTTCATTGTTGTTGTGCCTTTAACTTTACAGGGTCCTTCATTTACCTTGAAACATAATTAATTGTAACCGCATCAGCTGCTTGAGCAAATGCCTTGTATGGTGTCTGCAAAGTCCAAAGCATCAGCCGATCAACGTTACTCTCCAAACCAGATTAATTATATAGATATGGAGAGGCAAGAAGCTGATGAATACGAGAATGAAGCAACTCTACCGTACTATGGCATTATCATCTCTGGAATGTATATAATATATATATATAT